ATGAGGACAGTTGCTGGGAATGGGGGAGCATTATTGTGTCTGACAAGGTCTGATGTGGAAAAAAGTCTAAAGTATTGTTCATTAGAACCCAATTCTATATAGAAACCATACAGAGGTGAGCCAATGCTCCTTAAGAACATTAGGCTGGTAAAAGTTCTAACAAGTAGTACATGGTGGCCCACACTCTTAATCTCAGCACTTTGGAAGCAGAGGCAGGTAGATTTCTGTGATTTTGAGGCTAGCCTGAACAAGAGAGTGAGTTCAGGACAATAAGGCTACATAGTGAGACCCTGTCTCAAGAAACAAAAACAAAACAAAAAAACCCACAAACCACCACCACCTCCAATAACCTTCCTAAAATAAAACCAAAAAATGCTAACAAGTTTTGGAGAGATTCAAGGCAGGGAAATGTTCTTTGCTGTAAGCACCCTCTGATGTGTAATTTTCTTATAAAAAGATTAAGTTGTTGCCTTGCCTGTTGTATTAGTCAGGGTTCTCCAGAGGAACAGAATTTATATAATGAACACACACACACACACACACACACACACACACACACACACACACACACACACACAGAGTTTGTTAGAATGGCCTACAACCTGTGGTCCAGCTTCTCCAACAATGGCGTCTACCAACGGAAGATCCAAGAATCCAGTCTACAAGGTGGGATGTCTCAGCTGGTGCTCAGTATACACCAACATTCCAAAGAAGTATGCTCTTTGTGTACAGACTGAAGCTCTAAAGAGTAAAGGAGCCACCACAATGAAATGTTTCTTTTATAAGGGTTGCCATGGTCATGGTAGCTCTTCATAGCAATGAAAACCCCAAGACAACACAGAAGGTGAAAAGTTGAGTTGCTGAAGGTGAGGGAAGAAGAGTTCCAGGCAGCTGGCAAGCCTTAAAGACTGAGGATTCCCATACCAAAGTCTGCTGGGGGCTGCTGGACTGACTGACAGCTGCTGCCGAAAAGCAAGAATTCCATTAGATGATGAATATTTGGCCTTTGACAATCAAAACGCAGAGCATTAAGCCTCCAACATGAGCACCTAGAGCTCACAGTCTAGGTATGCCTCCTCCTGGCTCTAGAAATAAGTCTCTAGTTCTCAGAGCTTGGAAGTACATGTCTCTGAGCCTGGTAATCTAGTCCATTAGCCTTTGGCGTTCAGTGGCCTGTGACTACCAACATTGGAAATGCCGTTTCTTATCTTTTATCAAACAAAAGGACCCCAGCCAGCTTCTGATAACATAACAACATGGTAACTATCTAAATAGTAAAAATAAGCAAATTCAATGAACACACATGAAATTATCTCAATTTTGTAGAACGTCTTCCTCCTATGTATGTACTATTCCTGTTTCAGTTTTCTTATCTATAAATGAAAATGATTACCTTCAAAGCAGTTGTATAGTTTGGATTAGCAGTTTCACATTTGTTGGCGTGTACATGGGTCATCTGGGACTCTGCTAAAGGGGGATTTTGCTACAGTTTATAGCAAAATGAGATGGACCCAAGATCCTGCATGTCTAAGTGTTCCTAGATATTGTTGATGCTGATGTTAGATCATGCTTTGACTAGCAAGGGACTGAGGACAACACTTGAAAGACCTCAGCACAGATGCCCTATTGTTTCTAGTGGATCTGCTGTGTAGACAAATATGTCTCAGAAAACTGCTGATAGAGGTCCACTTACATGAACTTTAACCTATTCCGTCTCTCCACATCAATATCTTACTTTTCTTTCTGTTCAAGCACTTTGCTCTTTTTAAAATCTAGCAATAAGTGTCTGTGATTTTGGAGTTTGTCTTTCTTTTTAAGAGTGTATTTATTTATTTATTTATTTATTTATTTATTTATTTTGTGTACATGTGTACCTGTGCCTACAAAGGCCAGAGTGGGGTGTCAGATCTCTTGGATCTGAAGTTAACAGTGTTTGTGAGCTGTTTAGTGTGGGTGCAAACTCCATGCTCTGAAAGAACAGTAAATTCTCTTAACCATTATCTCTCCAGCCTCAGGGTTTACCTTTTGTAACCATAATAATTAATATACCGTAAGTACATTAAAGTATATGGTGAATAATAATATATGAGCACATCTGTAAAACCACCATCAAACTCTATGTAATTAAGTTTTCACTGCCAACACTTACTCCTACTTCTGATGTTCCTTCTGTGCCCTGAAAACCACTCACTAGCTTTCTGTCACTACAGATTAGTGTATCTTTGGTAAGTTCTATATAAGCAGACTCAATCAGAGTACATTCTTCTATCTGGCTTCTTCCAGAGTGATTATTTGATCCATGCTCCTGTATTATGAATTGATTTCTTGATAGTATTCCATTGACAGAGCTATACCACATTGTATTTATCCATTCAGCTGTTGGTAGCTGTCTGGATCATTTCTGGTTTACAGCTTTTACAAACAAAGCAGCTGTGAACATTCACATACAAGTCATTGTATAACATGCTTTTGTTTTTCTCCCTGGAAAAAACCTGAATACATAGGCTAGATCTGCTGGTTCATTATGTTTAGTTAAAAAAAACTTTTTAGACAGACTTGCTTTGCTTTGCTTGTATGGACATTTTTCCTGCAAGTATGTATGTGCACCATGTGCATGCCCATTGGATCCTCTGAAACTGGAGTTACAGAGAGTTGTGAACTACCATATGGGTGCTAGAAATTGAGCCCCAATCCTCTGCAAGAGCAGCAGCTGCTGTTAACCATGGACCCATCTCTCTAGCCCCAAAGCATTTTTGTTTTAAATAAAATTATTATATTGTTTTAAAGTATTTATACCATTTACATTGCTACCAGGAGTGCATAAAAATTCTTCTACTTCTGAAAGCATTCTTGCCAATATTCACTATTTTGAAATATTGACTGCAAAAACCTTTTTAGGCAATCATATGGGCAAGGGAAAAAAAATCCACCAGTTCCCCAGTTAATTAGTCTCCTGGGAAATAATACTATTAAATTGTCATGTTTAAAAAAATTGTCATGTTTATGGATTCCCAAAGTTGGTCCCCTAAGACACACAGAGCTCTTGTCTTTTCTTTAACTTATTTGTTGACTGAGTGTGTGAGTGTGTAAGTGTGTGTGTGTGTGTGTGTGTGTGTGTGTGTGTGTGTGTAGAGGTCAGAGGACAACTTGCAGAGCTGGTTCTCTCCTTCCACCATGTGGGCCCAGGGATTGAACCTGGGTTGTCAGGCTTGGTGGCAGCCTCACCAGTACTCATCATTTAAACAATAGTTTTCTTTTCCTTTCATTCTCATTATCCAGACATAGAATTTTAAGAAAACACAGAAGTCCTCACATGCAGAAAACTGGAAACATGTCTGTTTTTCTTCTGGCTCTTCTTTGTGTGAGACAAGCCTTGTTGTCCAGACTGGTCTTGAACTTCTGGCCTGAGCACTCCTTCTCTCAGCTTGCCCAGCACCCAGGACTGGAGTGAGTGCCACTTCTGTCAGATTCCCCACTGTGACTGCTTTCTTTCTGCTTTTACACTGGGTTTATAAGTGAAAAGACTTTGTCTTTAATGAACTTAAGTTTAGTAATTTTAGGTGATATAGTAAACTAGGAACGAAACAAAACAAAACAAAAGCCTTGTAGCTTTCTATTTTCCTAAAGCATTTTCTAGTACAATTCAACGCTAACAGTGTTTAGTATAATTTAACATCAATAGTTCAGGTCTTAAATGTGTTAAACGAGTTGTTTGTTTAAACATTGTATGGAGGAAAGTATCCTAATTCATACCCTTATGCGTAACAAGTCTTATATTTCAAAGTTACAGAAAGGGATGGCAAACTAACACTAATAATTATGATCCTAAACATTACTGGATAAAAATACTGTGTGCTGGGTAGGCACTATAGAAGTGGGTATCTGTTTATTATCTCATTAAGGTCCGTGGAGAATATTCTGTTTTCTCTAGTTTAGACACCGGCTCCACACTAGACATTGTTAATGGTTTTCAAAATATGTCAAAGAAATCCAGAGATTATGTTGCCATGTTCCCCGGGGAAGCCCAAAGTGGCTAGGGTGATTTCCACGATCTCCCTCCAAGTCTCTAGGCTCCACTTCCGCTTTCTACTTCACTCACTAAAGCAGCAGCATCGTGGCTGCTTGTGGTGGTGGTGTCTTCAGAGACTAGGCGGTCACTGCTTGTCTCTGACATGAGCTTCTGGCCAGGAGCGTAACTTCCTTGATGGGCCCACAGCTGATGTAATACACATTCTGAATAAAATTGCCTTTGTCTTCCAAGCGGATAAAGCAGAACCCCCAAGGAAATGCCTCTCAGTCTTATCTCCCTATTCAGAAAAAAAAAGAATTTATTCGTGGATTCATGCCCTTGTTCACTTAGTTTACCAATGGCACTGTTCTAGGGCAGTACTACTAAGAGAATGATCTGGAAACTCTAAGCTGTTGTCTTTCCTCCAACTCACCAACAGGACAGAAATTTACCTCAATTTAGCAAAGCTACCCGAGGAAGTTCTCCATCCAAAGCTCTCAAAGGATTGAAACCTGAGGGAAGCAAGCCAGATTCTACGAGCTGCCCTTAGGGCAGGAGGGTCTTGCACAAGGAATCCTGAAACCGTCCTGGGGTTATAATTCAAGGTTTGAGTTCTGCCAGTTGATACTCTTATTTGTTCTGGCTTTACTTTTCTAAGAATGAAAACTTAAGGTCCTCAGTCCTTCTCTGACTGGGATTCTGTTGGCATTAGAACGAATGGCGGTGCGTCCAGACAGAAATCCCTAGGACGAACGACCGGGCACACCTAGCTCAGAAGCACACCCTTATCGCGGGATACGGAGGCCCAGGCTCTTCTAAGCATCACGGGACTTTATAAGAACATGAAACTGAAAATGGGAAAGTCCTTCTTTAACCTAGCTCAGCGTCACCAGCTAGGAGACTGGTGACGGGCCTCGGAGTCTGGGTCCCGATTGGCTGCGAGCGTGGGGATTTATAAGGGTGCGCGCCCAATCCCGGCCACATTAGTTTCGCTCTGAGCAGCGCCCACGATGGCTCGCTCCGTGGCCGTGGTCTTTCTGATGCTCCTCTCAGTGGTCTGCTTGGATGCCATCCAGCGTGAGTGCCTCTTTCTCCTTTCCGGGCGTTAATTCTGATTTCTTCTTAGTTCTCCTTCCGGACGGGATTGGCCAGGGCTGGGTCTCCCGGGGAAGCGGTGGGAGTAGGGGGGGTGCCCCCGCCGCTCCTTTCTTGCTGCTTCCGGACAGCAGTGTGGATGCGGCCGGTTTCCGACTGTGAGTTGAGACAGGGAACACTTCTCTCCTGCTTTTTGCCTGCGGGAGCCCCCAGACTCTCGGAGCACAGCGGGAGGGTGGGCCTGCCCCAAAGGTGCGGGGTTGGATTCATGGAAGTCGGGGCCGGGACCCGGGAAACTTGGGAAGTCAGCTCGCGGCCACCTAGTAGCTTTTGCACTTTCAGAGCGCCTGGGATCCAAAGGAGCCAAAGTCTGGAGGAATGGGCGTGGGTCCTAGGCTCTGCTGTTTCCAAAGCTTTCTGGCCGTTAATTTACCTTGTCTCATTAATGTTTTTAGTAATAGTCATAAGGCTGCTGGGTATGGCAGTTTTCTGTAATGCTGAGGACTCTTGAGTGCTTTATAACTTTGAAAGTGCGCCTACGATGTAAACATTATGGTTCCTGTGTCTCTCAGATGGGGAGCCTGAGGCATCGAGATTCTAAGTAATTTGCTCACACAAGGGATTAATGGCAATCGGGATTGGAATTGAGGCCAATTTACGCCATCTGTGGTAAAAGTAGGCCTTTTGACTGTAACCCTCCGGTCATAGTCTATCAAGCAGGCTGGGCTGCCTTGGGCCCTTGGTGCTTCACACAGGGCTTCCTTGTTGGCCCGCTGCCTGGTTCTTTCCAAGCATCTACTTTCGGTTTTGAAAACTGCAAGTTTTTCAAAGTCAGGGTGGTTGTGAACTCTGGGTAAAGATATTTCAGTATAGTTACCAAGACTCTTGAGGAGAAAGAACTCACGAAGTCATAGAGGTAGAAAAGTGGCAGAGCCCAGATTCAAACCTCGCCCAGCACTTGTCTTAGTTGTCAAAGAAGAGATTTCTAGGCAGGGTGAACTGGCCTCTGACCTCTGTGGTATTTATTATGGTCTTGTCACTAAAACCTTAAATGAAAGGAGCTTTCTGGCTTATCTTCACTTTAACTTTACAGGAAAAAAAAAAATTCACGGCTTCATTGAAACCGGAACTCTAATTCTTGTGACAGAGCTAGTAACCTTTCCTCCAGTGCATCTAGAAACATACAGCTGGCCACAGTTCCCAGATGCTCTTCCTTCTCCCTACTGCCTTCTATATGTGGATAATAAGTAGCTGCCCTTTAGAGAGTATATGTGTATTATAAGCCAGGTGTGGTGACTCATGCCTGTAATCTCAGCCCTGGGGAGGCTGAGACGAAAGTTTAAGGCCAATTGGGAGACAGAGTAAGGCTTTATCTCGGATGGATAGATAGATAGATAGATAGATAGATAGATAGATAGATAGATAGATAGTGAAAACACAAAAAAGCCAGTGAAATGGCTCAGCAGGTAGAGACACTAGCCACTAAGCCTGAGTTTGATCTCAGATTCCACTTGGTAGATAGAGAGAACTGACTCTTAAATCCACACAAGAGCTATATGGTGCGCGCGCGCACACACACACACACACACACACAGCAATTGGAACGACCTTATAGTATTTTCTTTCCACGTTCCTGTATCTCAAGGTAATTATTCCCAACATATTTAGTTAGGGCAGTCATTTGAAAGTGCCAACTAGAAATCCTTATCCTACTCTCATATACGATACTCTACTTAGTTCTTGTGGAGTATAGTTTTTCTCATTCATCACATCCCTCACTTCTCCCTACTGTATTTTATCCATCCCAACTCAACCACTTGAAGTTTTGCTAGCCTCTGTAGATACTTAAATGTTGCTTGTTTTCTAGTTCATGAAATCAGAGCTTTGTTTTGGCCTGTTATCTCTGGGCTGGAACAGAGAGATTGTATGTGGCAGGATTGGCCCCTGGACTGACTTGCGTAGGAACCTAAGTAGGAGGAGATAATACTAACATCTACCACCTGAGTGGCAATGCTCAGCTTTCATCTCTGTATCAGATCATACAAGTTAGGAAATCTAGTGGGGAGCAATCAGTAAAAAGGAAGGGGATAAAAACAAAGTGAGAGGCTGATGCAGCATACAAGGGCTTGGGGTGCTGCAGGGGGTGTGCCCAGTGAGACATGAGACCTGGAAAATAGGTGGGCCACAGGATTTATTAAGAGAAGGGATCAGTGCAGTTCTTGAAAGCCCCCAATAAAAGCTTCTTAAAAATCCAGTAGTCTCTAGTGACAGAGACACTGCTACAAGCCAGGTAGGAAAAACCAAAGGCCTATACAGGATTTCAAGGAAAAGATACTAAGTCATGATGTAGTTCTCAAAATGCAGGTAGCCTTTGGGGGAAACAGAAGATCACTTTTCCGAAACAGAAATTGAACTGGGAGAAATAGATGACCAAATGTGACATGGGGCATGGTGTAGACTGAGATGTAGTTAGCTCCAAGGAAAAAGCCCCAGCAAGTTGTCATTTGTCTTTCCCCGTGACTCTTAGGTCCCCCACAAGTGCAAGTCTACACACGCCACCCACCAGAGGATGGTAAAACAAACTTCCTGAACTGCTATGTGTCTCAATTTCATCCCCCCCAAATTGAAATCGAGCTGTTGAAGAATGGAAAGAAGATGGACAAAGTCGAGCTGTCAGATCTGTCCTTCAACAAGGACTGGTCTTTCTATCTTTTGGCTCACACGGAGTTTACACCCACTGCGACCGATAAATATGCCTGCAGAGTTACACACACCACTCTGAAGGAGCCCAAGGTCGTCACCTGGGGTGAGTCTTCAATTTCTTCCTTAGTTCTGGAAGCTCTATCTGTGTCAAGTCACAGCTTAAACCGGCTTTGCTATTTAAAAAACCAATCTGCATACTGAGATTGTTAGGGGCTATCCCCAAAGCACTGATCAGTGGCACCTCCTGAGTAGTTCACTGCTGTTAGAGCACTGTCCCAGACTTCCTGCTGTGGCTTCCTCCAGCTTTCCTGCAACCTGATGCACACAAAGTGCCAAAGAGCATGTTGGGAAGGCACAGGTCTTGGCCTGCAATCCCTGCCCTCTTGTATATACAATTCTGGACTGCTCCAGTGCCTTGGCTAGGTGTGGCACTGAAGATGCCACAGGGGTGGATCTCTGGGTAGCTCTCAACCAACACTCAAGGCTAGCAACAACATCTATTTATTCTACTGGTTTTATTGCTAACACTTTTGGATGTCTGTTAGTATTTTGTAGTAGAAAAGTAAAAATGTTTTCTTTTTCTTTCCATTTTCTTTTTTTACAGAACGAGACATGTAATCAAGCATCATGGAGGTAGGTTTCTTGACCTTAAGAAATGGGCCTTTGGGAGAGGGGAGTCTTGGGGCAGAGCACATGCTGGGGGTAGCATGCATAAGGCTATGTGTTCTATTCCCAGCACTGCAGGGAGAGAATTGTTTGCTTCACTCTCCTAGGAGCTGTTTATAGACAGCTCTAACACCAAAACTGTCACTGTACCAAAGACATTAATCAGGATAGCTTGCCAGTAGCCACAGCAGAATCCTTTGGGGTCACATCCTTTGTCCTGTAGATTGGCAGGAAGAAGGCATGTAATTACAGGTCTGGCTGAGCCATCATCACTAACCCTCTAAAGGGAGAACAGCAACTTCTAATATGTGGCCAGGAGAGGCCTGCAGTTACCTACACTATCTCAAGAGTTTGGTCATCTTCTGTTTCCTTCTTGGCATTTCTGCTGAGAAGGCCTTGGACAATGAACCACTTGCTTTCTTTGTGTGGCAGTGGCCTTGCTCTTCAGCCAGAAGAGTGGGATGACAAAGTTCTGTGGATGCATCTCCCTTCAGTCTCTTGTTCTGTCTCAGAGGGTAGGCACTAGGTTTGTGTCTAAAGACTTTCAGACCACTGAGGTCCAGAGGAAAGGCATGGACATAGAATGTTGTAACTCCATGTAAACACACTATCAGAGCTGTAGCAGAAGGAAGTCTAGGAGCATGAGAGAGGGGAACACAGACTTTTCTGATAGATGCATTGTAGTGTGGAAAAATCCAGATTTTCAGGGAAATCCTACTGTCCAGGGACATTGGGGCCAAAGTCTTGTTCAAATCTTGTATTATATTTATTTCTAGGAAAGCCAGATTGATTTGAGAGAGAGTATTAGAGAGAATAGGTAATCCGGCCAAACAATCACCAAATGGTGGAGCCAGTACTCACTTCCTTTAAGAAAGTGGTTACACACAGATGTTAGACCCGTTGGTGGTGAGATCTGTAATTTGAAAAAAGTAAATGCTCTAATTTCCTCTTTCCCTCCTTCCCTTCCCTTTTTCTTTTCAGGTCTGAAGATGCTTCATTTGGATCAGTTTAATTCTAAAGTATTTCTCAGTTTTTAATATGCTGTTTAATCTATGCACACGGAAGGAATAGTAATGGCACATCATCTTCTATATAACCTACCTTGAATTCTGCATGTTTTCCAAAAACAGATGGAAGAGTAACATCCTAGATATCTGAAATAATAAAGCATCAATGAGTATTTTGATCAGAAACAAACCGTTTTGATAATTTGAATGAAAAAAACTTGCTATTAAATATAATTAAGAACAGTAGTTGATCATATATCAAACCCTTTGTACATCTTATTAGTTGGATGTAGTTATTCATCTTTGGTCTATCACAACATAAATGTTATTTTTTTTAAATCTAAGAAACCTGAGATATTTTCTTTTTTGGTAAAACACACAAGTCCAGTTGAAATCTGTTATTATTCCTAGCAATCCTCTCCCCCAATCCCATAGGTTACTTCCTCTTTGTTATTTTTACTCAAAAAGAAAGAAAGAAAGAAAGAAAGAAAGAAAGAAAGAAAGAAAGGACTTTTGCTAGACATTGCCAGAATGTTACATGAAGTGGTTTCTAGGTAGCCTTCAGTGTCTGCAAGTGTGCATGTGATTTTATTACCAGAAGAGCCAGTGAGTGTCTTAAGAGGTTCTCATAGAAGCAGGCTGCAGAACTAGGGGTCCAGATGAACATGACTAAGAAAGGGCTCCAAAGCAAAGCAGTAGGAGTGTGGCTGATGACAGGAAATAGGAAGGAACTGAGAGGGGCATCAGTGGCTGCAGTGTTTCCTGTTAAATTCTGTTGGGCCTACAGCACAGCCAGTCTGAAAGCCACACCACCAATTCAAAGTTTCTAAGGGCTAATGTTAAAGTGGGAATGCTAATTAATTTAGAACTAAGTTTGAATCCCAATTCAAAAGTTACTATAAAATCCTGACTTGAGCTTTTAATTTTGATACAGTTTAGCTGTACTCCCAAAGGTCTTTTTGTGGTTGCACCTTTAAGAGGCAGGGTCTAGTGGGAGGTCCTGTGGTGCTCTCACAGGATGGGGATCTTTTTGAGTTAGAAACGGTTATTATAAAGGCAGCAAACCAGGTCCCTTCTATCCCTTGTGCTGGTTTAACATATAATAACTTGCTCACTCCTGATGCACTTTTCCTATTGCTGTTGGCCCAAAAGAGGAACCTTTGGCATGGAGTCTGTGCTAATCTTAAATTTTGAAATTTCAAAACTGTAAGTTAAATAAATCTTATTAAGTAGCTTGTGTCAAGTATTTTGTTATAACAATTACTTATTATTAGTCACCATAATCCCAAAGTGGGATAATTAGTCCTATATCACAAAGCTTATTCATTTTTTCACTCAACTATTATTTTGAATTTAAAATTATTCATTTATTTTTATGTGTATGATACATGTACATATGTCCAGACATGCATGCTTGGTGCCTATGAAGTTCAGAAGTGGGTGTTAGATCTGGAACTAGAGATGGATGTGAGCAACCACATTCAGCACATAGGAGATGGAGCTAAACCTGGGTCCTCTGGAAGAGCAGCGAGTACTCTTAATTGCTAAGCCTTTCAATTAATTGTGTATGTGTGTGTGTGTGGATGCAGAGGCCACAGGTGCTTGTTGTTGGATGTCTTCCTCAATTGCTATTACTCTCCACCTTATAGTTTGAGAGAGAGTCTCTGTGAATCTCAAATTTGGAGATTTAGCTGGCCAGCAAGCTTTAGGAATTGTGGTGGTTTGAAAGAAAATGACCCCTAGAGGCTGGTAGGGACTGACACTATTAGCAGGCGTGGTCTAGTTGGGGTAGGTGTAGCCTTGTTGGGAGAAGTGTATCTTAGTCTCTTCCTGCTGCCTGAGGATCCAGATATAGAACTCTCAGCTACTCTCCAGCATTATGTTTGCCTGCATGCTGCCATGCTCTCGCCAAGATGACAACGGACTAAACCTCTTAACTGTAAGCTTCCTCCAGAAGCCAAGGGCCCAAGAAGAACCTTGGGGAGGCACCGGGAGAAAGAGCCCACCTCCCCAACCTGCCAGGACACCTGAAACAGAAACTTATTTTTCGTGTGTGTGTGTGTGTGTGTGTGTGTGTGTGTGTGTGTGTGTGTGTGTGTGTGTGTATGTGAAGGCTAGTCTAGTCCCCTTGGAGGCCAGAGGCTGGAGCTGGAATTATAGACAGGTACTGGAACCCAAACTTTGCTTGAAATTGCTGAACCATTTCTCCAGCTTCCCACAAGACACCTTAAAAATAACCCCAGGGCAGGCTGCAGGTGGAGAAATGGACCCTTCTTTGGGTGCCAAGAAAGCCATATTTCCAACTTCCTGTCCCCAAGTCCTGGTTAAACCTTGAGCAGTAAACCTGTCTTTCTTTCTTTGTGTGTGTGTGTGTGTGTGTGTGTGTGTGTGTGTGTGTGTGTGTGTGTGTGTCCTCTAGCACCACATTTTGCCATATTGCTTTGAGCCCAGCAATGGCTCTGATTCACATGTTACAGTATTGGTTCTGTGATGCTTTTCTGAAATGGTGATGATCTAGGTAAAATTCCCAAAACAAACAAACAAAAATCCCAAACTACACCTTTTGCCTTGTACTTATTCATCTGTATTAGCCAGGTATAGCAACTGGTCAACAGAATTTCAAGAAATAAAACAATTTAAAAATACAACATTTTTCTGGGCAGTGGTGGGGTACGCCTTTAATCCCAGGACTCAGGAGGCAGAGGCAGGCAGATCTCTGCGAGTTCGAGGCCAGCCTGGTCTACAGACTGAATGCCAGGGCAGTCTCCAAAGCTGCAGAGAAACCCTGTCTTGAAAAAAAAGAAAAACAAAAATATAACATTTTTACATGTGATTGTAAGCCCAGATTATAAAGACTTGTGTATCTGTAGGCTGTGACCTCTGACCCTCAGTTTCTGGATGTTACAAGTAATGTCACCATTGGAGCAACGAGAAGGTATCCTATTAATTTTTGAAGCCTCACTGGGAGACTGGGACTAGACCGTAGGAGTGCTGATTTAATCTCTGTGGGCAGATGGGCACAGAGAGCAACCGCCCTTCCTCTTTCCTCTAAAGGGCTTTGGCAAAAGAGGAAACTAAAGGGGAGGAGGAGGGGAAGTCCCTCTCCTAACCGAACCTGCGCGCTTTTGCCAACAGCCTGGCGATGTGGCCACCTGCGCTGTGTGGGCAGTTCACAAAGACCAAAAGTGTTTAGGAGACAGTGGCGGCAGGGATGGGGAAAAGAGTGGAATTCCAGATGAAATTTGCACATTATCAACCTGCTTTTGTGACCTCTGCTCTGCAACCTGGGGTATCCCTGTTTATCTCCATCTCCATACCCTTGCTCCATCCTCCTGCCCCACCAGTGTAATAAACAGCACATGCCCAAGAGCAAAGTTCAAAGCACGTAGGTTTAAGGTCGGCTGCAGCATGCCTAGGTAGAGGCGAAGTGATAGGCTCTCCTTTCTAGGGCTGCTCAGCTTGTGTTGGAGAGAGAACGTGTAGCCATGGCCTGCATTTGTGAGCCACAGAGTGGAGAAGAGAGAGCCTGCCAGAGCCATGTGTCTCAGTAGTATTGCCTGGGTCAATAGGTTGGTGCCTGTGAATAGAGTGCCAGGCACTCACCCACCCCTGAGCTCCACTAATTTCCTCCTTAGGCTTCCAATTGTCTACCACGTTCCATGGTTTATACCCAAATCCCTACAATAAACTGTATTGTGCAGTATTTCTGCCACTGTGTTTGAGATATAATTCACAAACCACAAAATAGTACATTTAAAGAATACAATTCACTGAGGCTTAGTATATCCTCAAGGCTATGTATATCCATCGCCACGATTTTAGAACATTTTCTCTTCTCCTCTCTGCTTTTTGAGGTAAGGATCTCACTCACTGTAGCCCAGGCTGACCTTGAATCCATTAGAGATCCACTCTGCCTCCTCAGTGCTGAGATAAAAGGTGTATGACACCATGCCCAACAATTGTAGAGCACATTATCAATTACTACTTTCCTACTAAAGCCCTGTTCCAGTTAGCAGGCTCTCTCCCCTTTCCTCCTAAACCACCTAGCCCTAGAAAACCATTGATTTTCAGTCTTTGTGAATTGGCCTATTCTTGTGACTCCTTTTATTTTACTGAAACTGTTTTAGTTACTTGGATGTGTGGGCACGTGTACATGTGGAAGCCACAGGACACCTTGCTACAGCCAACTCTCTTCTGACACTGTGTAGGATCTGGATCTAGGGCTGGAACTCAGGTGGTCAGAGGTGAGATTTTGCAGTAGTACCTCTACCCACCGAATGGCCGTACTTGCCCTTTGGAGATTGTAATACCCTTTAGTTACAAGGCTTGCCTGAACTCATAGCAGTCGTCCTGCCTCAGTCTTGCCAGGACTGGGGTTAAAGTGGGTAGCACCATGCCCAGGTTGAAACCAAGACTCTCTATAGCTAATGCTCAAATTTCTTCTCATTTTCTAGAACAAAATTTTGGATAAAACGCTTAAAAAATTCTGGGCTGGTGAAGCAGCAAATATACTACATAGTTCTTTTTGCTTGTTTGTTTTTTGGTTTTTTCAAGACAGGGTTTCCCCGTGGCTTTGGAGGCTGTCCTGGAACTAGCTCTTGTAGACCAGGCTGGTCTCGAATTCACAGAGATCCACCTGCCTCTGCCTCCCAAGTGCTGGGATTAAAGGTGTGCGCCACCACCGCCCGGCTCATAGTTCTTCTTAATAGAAACTCAGACACATAAAGAAATTTTTAGGGCTGGAGAGATGGCACAGAGGTTAAGAGCACTGCCTGCTCTTCTAAAGGTCCTGAGTTCAATTCCCAGCAACCACATGGTGGCTCATGACATCTGTAATGAGATTTGGTGCCCTCTTCTGACCTGCAGGCATACATGCAGGCCGAACTCTCTATACATAATAAATAAATCTTTAAAAAAATTTTTTTTAACAATTTTATCCTCTGTGTACAAGTGTTTGCCTGTATGTGTATGTACCATGTATGTACCATATGCATGCAATGCTCTCAGAGGATCCCCGGAAACTGAAGTTAGAGCAGCCATGTGAGGACCCAGGAAGAAAGCCAGTACTCTTAACTGCTGAACCATCTTTCCAGGCCCTAAAGAGCTTTTGTTTTTAGATCCCTTTTTTTTTTTTTTTTTTTTTTTTTTTTTTCAAGAAGATGGTTTCACGTAGGCCAGGCTGGCTTTGAACTCCTTATTCTCCTGTCTCTGCCTCCTGAGTGGTGGGATTACAGGTACGTACAATTAGTCACTTCACTCCTGCCATGTGAAACCTAGGCATCAAACTCAGATCATCAGGGTTAGCAGCAAATGCCTTTGCCAACTGAGCTCTCTTGCCCTTCTT